GGCTCGCCAGCGCGCACTTTGTTACTGCCACCGTGACGCCTGTGCGGGGCGAGCCGGTTCCCTCCGCTTCAGCCACCAGACCTCTTCTGCTGGGGCTCTGGAGTGTGGAAAAACTGATGCGCGCGCGCCCTGCGTGGAGAAAGTTGGGCAGTCTCCGAAGTGTATCTTCGCCGCCCCTCAGCGAGACTCAGCGGAGATTTGGGGGTGGGGGGGAGAGCAGCAGGCGCGTGCGAAGCTCACCCCTCTTGCAGGATAAGCTGACACTAAGTACTAACTACGGGGAGGGCGATCGGGGAGGGGGAGTGCTGTAGTCTCCTTTTTGCCTGCTGAGAAGCGTCGGTTGGGCGCGTTCTCCAGTCACCCCGCGCTCTCGGGGCGGGCGGGTCTATTAAATTCATCCACACCGATGCCAGCAGTTTGCTTGGGCAAACCACCAAAGCACTGGTTAATTTATGGGAATTTAACCCATCATTGGCTCTCAACAATAACCAGAGGAGATCATAGCACTTCATGGAAGGCAGAGAGCTGAAACAGCAAGTTTGTGTGGTTAATGAGCCTTGTTTAACAGTGGAGGCTCACGTGTTGGAGCATTTTCCTGCCAACTAGAGTTTCGCCCCTTTTGCAAGAGACTAGTGCCAGCTTCCTACCGCTCGCAGGCATGCTGCCTCAAGACCAGTAGGTATTTTATAAGAATCCAGAAACCGTACCATCTAACCAGTTATCCTTTACCTTCTATATAAATGTGATCTATGTGCTGTGTTTCGTATGAATTGATGCAACTGAAATAGAATTAAAGCTCATCTCCAAAGGCTCGTGCATGTTGAAGATGATGGCGTATTGTAGATGAAAAGCCAGTTGCTTGCTTTAGAAATAATTGCACGTCCAGCTTCATTTCCTCTGTTGAGTCAGTCCTTCCAGGGGCATTGATTGCTGCTAGCTTTATAATAGAGAATATGAAAGGTGCTGTCCCTGCTTTATCTCTGTGTGGGGAAATGATAGGAAATGCAAAACAACTTCTTAGGAGGAAAGACATTAAATACTTGATTTCGTAATACAAACTATGAGGGGCTAAGTCATGGTAGTTGACACCTTTAATTCCAGCAGTCAAGAGGAGGCCAGGCTGGTCTACATAGTGAGTTCCAGGCCAACTACTTCTGCACAACACAGTGGTGTCCAAAAAGGAAAAAAAACCAAACAAACAAAAAACAAAAAAGACCCAAAACCAACAAGAAAGTATTTGATGGAAATGAGCTTAGTCCAGGCTTCCCAAGGAGCCAGATTTTGAGCCAGATCACAGATTCAAGGAAGTGATGATCTTAAATGTGCGGAGATGAGTCAGAAAAGGGAAGGATTACTGGCAGGAGAACCGAAGGGAAGGATTGGGGTTGTGTAGAAAAATCATCAAATAAGAAGCCCTAAGTAATAGCTTGGCAAAATCGTTTTCATCTTTTTATTTATTATTGTTGACCTGGAATTCACAGAGATTGGTCTGCTTCTACCTCCGGAGTGCTAAGATTAAAGGCAAGTTACCCCATGCCCAGATTGTGTGTGTGTGGGGGGGGGGGAAGCCTGGCCTCAAAGAGGTCATCTCACTGACTCAGCCTCATGAATGTTGGGATTTACAGGCATGTACCTCCATATCCAGTTCAGTTTTCACTTAAAATTGTTTTAAATTATTTTTACATAGAGGTGTTCTGCCTACCTATCTGTTTGTGCCCAATGTACATCCCTTGGAGGCTAGAAGAGAGTGTCAGATTCCCTGGGACTAGAGTTACAAGTTGTGAGTCATCCATTGTGGGTAATGGGAATCAAATTTAGGTCCTCTGTAAGAGCGGCCAGTGTACTTCCGGGCAGTGGTGTCGCATGCCTTTAATCCCAACTCTCGGGAGGCAAGAGCCTAGAGGGATCTCTGAGTTCGAGGCCAGCCTGGTCCACAAGACCTAGTTCCAGGACAGGCACCAAAACTACAGAGAAAACTCTATCTCCAAAAAGAAAAGAAAATAAGCAGCCAGTTTACTTTGCCTGCCGAGCCATCTCTCCATTTATTTATTTATTTTATTTTTTTGAGGCAGGGTTTCTCTATGTAGCATCGGAGCTACATAGGGAAACCTGTAACTTGCTCTGTAAACCAGGCTGGTCTCGAACTCACAGAGATCCTTTGCCTCTGCCTGCTGAGTGCTGGGACTAAAGGCGCGCACTGCCAGCACCGGGCGCCATCTCTCCTTTTTATAAATTTGTGATTCTTGGGGGAAAATAGCTTATAAAGAAATAACATGGGCCAGGTGGTAGTAGCATACCCTTAAATCCCAGAGGCAGAGGCAGGTGGAAATTTGAGTTCCAGGGCAGCCAGAGCTACACAGAGAAACTCTGTCTTGAAAAACAAAACAAAAAGAAGTAACATGGGGCTGGAGAGAGATGGCTGAGTGGCTAAGACCCTGTACTCTTTTTGTCAGAGAAGCCCAGTTCAGTACCCAGCATGCACATCAGATGGCTCACAACCACCTGGAACTCTAGTTCCAGGGCATCTGACACTTTGTCCTTCAAGGGTACCTGAACACACATGCACATGCCCACACACAGACATGTACACTTGATTAAAGATTGTAAAAAAAAAATGTGATTTTTTTTAAGTGCTCTAATTGTGAAATTGCAGTGCCCCACTTTTATAATGTCTTATTTATAAGTCTTGTTTATATCCCAATTTTAGGTAGGGCCAGACACTGCCCAGAAATTAGTGTTAATGAAAGGAGTAAAAATACAGCAAAGTCCTCATAGGTTTGTAAAAATAAAGTACCTTGACACTGGTCTAGGTGAGTATTCAGGTGTAAATTTTTAGAGCCAGAATATTTCATTCAATTTCATGGTATGCAGTAGTGATGGATAGACAGTTCAACTCTTTATGCCATATTAAAATGCAAAACAAAAGGTTTTTGTTTACCAGTGGCTTGAACCTGGTATTATTCATAGCTGTAAAATGACAGCCGTCTAGTAAATTCCCAGTATTCATTAGTTCAGTCATAGGCCTTATGTGCTTTTAGAAACAGGTTAACAGATGGTGGCATTTATTGAAAGCCTTTTTATCTAGCCTATAGACTTGTTTTCCCATTTTGTGTAAGACAAGCAGTTTTTGTCTATATAGGTGTGGGTAAGTCAGTATGGTGTTTGTGGTGTTCCCTTTTTAAACCAAGGAATGTAAAAATAAAATTGCTCAAATACTACATCCCTAGAAGAGTCATTTAGTGAGCCAGCTAAACTATTTAAAATGGAGAGGTGGTACCTCCTCCAGACAGGCTTTTCCCCTCCTAAAGCCAGAGTTTCATGTAGCTTTGCTCTTTCTCCTCACACATATAACTGGTGAGTTTGATCTTGAGTTTGTGTTCCTCCTGCCTCCATTTCCAAACGGCCACAGTTATAGGCCTGTGCTACCATGCTTGGCTTTTACCACTTGTAAAAGAGTTTAAAGCACAGTATGGTGGCATGACCCTTGGAGCCCAGCACTTGGGAGGTAGAGACAGGAGGATTTCTGAGTTCAAGGCCAACCTGGTCTACATAGTGAGCTCCAGGACAGCCAGGGCTATGTAACAAAAAGGTAACAACAACAACAACAACAACAAACCCCAAGGAAAAGAGTTTAGCTTTAGCCTGCTACATGAGAGATTAAAGCAGGAAGAAGGGTTGCTTCAAGTCCACCATTGGCATCCTGATGTAACCACTCTTTTCAGGGTGCTGCTTTATGTCCATAATCCCCACACTTGAGGGGTGGGCCAGGAGGATTGACAGTTGTTTAGTAACAGCCTAGGTTACAAAAGTTGGAGGGAGTATGGAGTGGGGGACATTATTCCTAATGTAATGACTTGTCCCTCCGTTAGATGCCTGAAACCTTGTCTGGACGTAGCATAATAATGTTCTTTTGGTGGTGTGGGTAGGAATTTCAGGCATATTTTTGCCACCCACATGTCAATAGCAGCCTTAGTGTCTGGTTGCCTGAGGTTAGAGAATGGAACTAAAGGATTCTTTTTTTAATCTTGGAAAGGTGAAGGGATTGTTCCTCCAGTCTCTTGTCAAACATTTACTCAGCTCCTTTTCTCTTACCCTCCCCAGTCTCAAGGAGAAAGGCCTGTTAGTGATTTTTTTTTTTTTCCGAGTCAGATCATTAGGTAGCTCTGGCTGGCCTGGAACTCCCTGTGTAGGCCAGCCTGGCCTTGGACTTAGATCTGCCTGCCTCTGCATATGCCACCATGCCCAGCTTCATATTTCTTCATTAATCTCTTAAAAGAACAACCAAATCAAATAAACTGTAGTCAGACACCACTACCACCCCTTTCATTCTGGATTTTTGAGTGGCCTTGAATTTGATGTGTAGCCAAGGACAACCTTGAATTCCTCCTGGTTTATCTTCTACTTTGCAAGACATTTCTGACAGGCTCCTTTGTGCTAAACATACCCTCTTAATTATTACCATTATATGGGAAAGTAATTAATTATAATAGAATAGTAATTGAAACTTTGTGTTTTTGTTTATTTGGGTTTTTTTTTTTTTTTTGCAGTTGGGGGGGGGCGGACAGGGTTTCTCTCTATATCCCTTGCTGTCCTGGAA